CCCAAGACCTACGCCTATCCTCTGCCCGGATCCCCACCTCTGATGCTCGACTTCAAAACTTCTCCAGGGCTGCACCTATTCTGTGGAACTCCCTTCCCTCCTCAATCAGACTTTCACCCAGCCTCCATTCCTTCAAAAAATCTTTGAAAACTCACTTCTTCATTAAAGCGTATCAATTAAACTGTCAGCAGGTTTCTCATCCCCACCCCATGACTCCGTTCCTGCACCTGTCAAAAATGACCTACCAAGCACTCAATAAACCCTTCTGTAACAAACTATTTAATTCCCCTACTTTAACCCTTTGTGTCACTATACCCCACTCCCTCTAGCATGTAAGCTCATCGAGCAGGGTCCTCAACCCCCTCTGTTCCTGTACGTCAGTGGTCTGATCTCAATTATGTGTCTGTTAGTCCACCCATTGTACAGCGCTACAGAATTTGTTGGAGCTATATAAATAATAAAATAATAATAATAATGTGTGTCTGTATGTATGTGTGTTTGTGTTTGTATGTATGTATGTATGTATGTGTGTGTGTTTGTTTGTATGTGTCTGTATGTGTTTGTACGTATGCATATGTGTGTCTTTGTTTCTGTATGTATGTGTGTCTGTATGTATGTGTTGTGTGTGTCTGTGTATATGTGTGCCTATATTAGTATGTGTGTGAGTGTCTGCATGTGTGTCTATATGTGAGAAGTATGGGGTGGGGAGGGGGCAGGACAATTTTCGCACCGGGGCCCAGTGATTTCTTCTTATGCCTCTGTCTGAAACAAAGAAGAAGTAGAGCTGTTTGTCATTAGCGTAGCTATGATATCTTAAGCCAAGTTTCCTGATAAAGTCCCCTAGTGGTAGCAAGTATATTGTGAATATCATGATAGACAAGATGAATCCTTGTGTAACTACACAAGCCAGATTTATTCTAAGTAGAAGTGGATGAGTCCTTGAAACTCAAGGTTTCACTTCTATTACCTTGAAGTCTTCCCCCCAAAAATAAGCATTGCATAAAAATATCTTCATAAAATGCTCCTAAAGAGTTTGTTGGTATTTTACTGAGTTTCCAAACCAGTCAAAAGAAATCATAAAACAAACTATGAACTATTTTATTTTATGTATTTTTCTACAGTTGACACGCTTGACAGAAAGCAGAGCCACTTTTTGTCAAGCCCTCAGCCATTACTGGTAATGACTGAGGGGAAAAAAGGGTTTTCTACAGAGGATCACAGGATCCTCTATAGTTTCAATATTATACTCTTACACATGCAGTGCTGACATCAGCTCCTGGCAGATGACGCACCAGGAGCTGAAGTGGAACTTACAGAAGACGATAACAGCACCTCGGTGGGATAGGTTCAGCTAAGTAAAATTTATTGCAATGCAGTCAAAGTGTGCAAAGACCATAGTAGATTACATAGTAGTAAAATGCTACTTTTTTATTTATATAAGTCAGGGATGCCCAAAAGGTAGATCCCCAGATGTTGTAGAACTACAACTTTCCCATGATGTTTTGCATGCCTTTGCAAGCTTTTACAATGACAGATCATCATGGAAGTTGCTTTTTCAAACATCTAGGGATCTATCTTTAGGGCACCCCTGATATAATGATTTAACAATATATTTTTGTACATCCCTGCTAAAAAGTCCAGGTTATTCATTAATGGTCGAATGCATAGTGACCTCAATGTGATTTTAAAACTTTAGGGCAATATAGCTAAATTCAAAATAAATTTAGAATTTTTAATCCGCTTTAAATTCACTCTGAATTCCAGACAGTTCACATAATAATGACTAACCTTACCATGGTCAAATGTGATCTAATATTTGTATAAATTATAGGGAAATCTATGATATTCAAGCAAGACAGGACATCTTAAAGAATAATTTTAACAGAAAAGTTGCAGAGGTAATATAATTTGAGAACTCTAAAATTTGCAAGATAGCATGTATACAGTACCATATATCTATAACATACAATATATGTGTGTTAACTGCAATTTACATATGGTAATCCAGATTAACAAATAAGACATTAACTGGTTTACTGAGAGAAAATTGCAGTTAGACCAAAATGATATCTTATGTGACAATTACCTGATTTTGTTTTAAAATACTATGTTTAGCACCCTTTGAAAATGACATTATCTTATGCACTGACAGTTATTCCCTGGAGCTAAATATTCTACGGTGAAGTCTTCCAGGCATATAAATATGAAAAAAATTAACATACAACAAGTACAGGAAATGCATGACCCAATTGAAAGGAACTATTTTTATATCAGTCATGTTTAACCTTTTTAAAATGCTGACACCCTTTTTATTAATGAAAAACACCTGACACCTTTAACTGATACCATAATTAGAAAAATGCAAAAACATTTGAATTAAATGTTGTTTGTCCTTCTTTGCAACTTGTTCTCCAATTACAAATGTGGTTGTTTCTATCATACTATTTTCTAACAATATCCTTGATAGCTCAGTAATTAATTAATGTGTAATGCAAGTGAATATATTGTTTCAGATGCTCTAAATTGTTTTAGAATAACTGATTTACAGGCTTGAATGAAAATATGTGTTTTACAGAAAACACTAAACCCAATGACTGGAAAAAAAAGTAATTAACAGATTTAACAAGACCATAGAGAAGTATCTCAAAGGGAGTACATTGTGTGCTTCTCTGGAAATCAAGTTGTGGATTGAAATATACTCACTTTCTTTTTGACTCAGGAGGATTGGAAGTCAGTCTATATTTAAAGGTAGCCATTAGAATATAAGGGATGTGTGTCAGCTATATGTAGCCTGTGTGATTTATGTACAGTACTTTATTTACAACCACAATGCCATTTTGGAGATCTAAGAGGATATAGCAATTCCCATGGCACTGAGCAACTGTATAACAACTGTATCAATGATGCACATTCTGAAAGCATCAAGCAGAGAGTTCATGCAGAGGCTGGAAATATTGTAAAATAATATCTTATATTGTAACAACAAATGTTAATTGAGATATTTAACAATCAGTATTAATTTGTGAATCTATTTTGAGCTCATTATATTTAGTTGCACTAATTGTGTAAAAAGTATTAAAAGCAAAAATCTTTCTCCCTATTTTTAACACTCAATGCTGTGCTACATATACATATAGCATATTAACCCCTTAAGGACACATGAGGGGAATATTCTGTCATGATTCCCTTTTATTCCAGAAATTGTGTCCTTAAGTGGTTAAAAGAAAGCCCTTTCAGTAATTTGAAAAACAGTATATAATATGTATGGTGTCAGGTAAAGAACCCCTAAATTACGTTTAAACAAACACTTTGCGATAATTCAAGGTTTTGTTTTAGTTCACTACTTGGACACTACCTCCATCCTTAAGGGGTTAAAGTCTGCACTGAAAATGTTTAATAATTGCTGGATAATTAACTAAATGTTCTGAAAATTGGTAGTCAAATCTATAAAATTTGAGGGGGCGGGGCTGGATCGCCAAGCTGCATGGTCGCACATCACGAGAGTTCTGCACCTAAACGGTAAAAAAAGAGCTAAATATACCGACAGTTTCAAGGCAAACACTATACTGAAGAAAACCAGCTACAAATGGTGCCTACTACAACAGCTGCCCATTGCAACGAGGGCTAAACCCATTGCAAAGACTGTGGACTAACCGAGATGGCAGACTGGGAGAGGTGGCCGAACTCCTTATCGTTGCCGCCACTGTAATAAGCAGAAGCGAACGGACACCCCTCCCCCCCCCCCCACCCCTTGCTGGGGAGGGATATCACGGCACACTCTCGCAGAAACGCTGGCCACACTGCGACCCTACAGGTGTCCCTGGAACTCAGTGCCCATCACGTGGAGTGTCCTAAGATGGCGGATGCACAGTTTACCTCCCATTCAGGAGGCCTGGAGGAAAGCACTATGGCGCACTAGGGCCTCGAGAAGACTTAACACAGTACCGCACTCACACAAGAGGGCACAGCCGATAAAGCATGAGGCATTCAAAGTCAGTGTCCACCCCTGGAGCGAAATGGACTTGACCCTCAATAAAGCTGCAACCTGCAGAACGGTGGCGCATGTCCATGCACAAACCAGGGGCTGGAGCAGAGTCCAGACATGGAGCGATGTCATAGCCACTCACCTGGACATTCTTGCCCATGTACCACTTATGCCACTTGCAGGGCTGGGAGGACTCTTGCACTGCCGGGTCGCTGACACTCCACTCATGGGCAACGGCTGAAGGGGCCTAAGACAACACATAAGCCTTTCCACAGCTATGCTTATTTCTTTGAGCTGCTTGATTTATATGTTGTTTATTTTTTTATTGTTTGTCTACAGTTCAACTGGTGATCAGCTATGACCATATAGGCCTGAACCTAGAAGCAAACCATAGCTCAGCATAGCTAGTTATAGGCTAGGATCTACCCTCACCATTACTGTTACTGCACCATATGAGTACCTGTATTGATTAACCCTATCCACTCAGTGGTTCTTGCATCTCATGCACCATCTGTAATTCTATCACATAGCATTGTAACATTTCCTGCTACACCCTATTCTAGAATTAAGAAGCGTCAGTTAATCGTTATACACCTTCAATAGCACAGTCAGTTGTTAAGCCATATAACTGCTCAAGCACACGCAATGACTTACAACATACTACCGTTTCTCATCTTTTACTTCAAAAATGTGCACAGTTATTTATGCCATGCAATTGTAATTCTTTGTCTCTCAAAACTCTGGCAACAGCTGTTGTGGCATTGCTAGCCTAAATGTTATCTGTATCATCTATGCAGGAAAAATAAAGAATAAAAAAAAAAAAATCTATACATTTTTTATAAAAACAATCATCATATGGCGGAGGAGCCGAGCCACAGATGGAAACAGACGCATGAGTACTGAGCTCCCTCTCCCCTGAGCATATAATCCGTTTACATCTGCCCTAGAAACAAGCCATCCAACCTCAAAAACAGGATATATCGGCACAAGAACGCTAGCACCACCTACCAGGACCATGGGCGGCAATAAAAAGCGCAAAGACATGCAGCCATCGGTAGCCACGATTTTCCTGGCCCGAGAAAATGGCCGGCCCTCTCTCTCAGAGTACCCGCCCAAATCAGGTTCTGACAGTGAGGACGGGAAAGCACAAGGGGACCCCACGGCACCCCTCACTATGGGCAACTTAAAGAGGCTGCTCCACGAAACCTCTGCATACATTAAGGCACATACAGCCCCAGAGCTGGAGAAACAAATAACAGGGCTCAAGGAAGATCTCGAGGCCCTAACCTCACGCACAAACAAGGCCAAGACCCAAATTGTGGGCCTCACCCAAAAATCGGAGGCCCACCAACAAGAGTTGGGTGACATGCACAACAGGCTGCTACAACTCAAAGACAACCTAGAGGACCTGAACAACGGATCCCGCAGAAACAATATTAGGATCTGAGTACTCCCCGAATCCGTGACCCTGGATGCTATACTTTTAAGTGTCAAAGAAATCTTCAAGGCCCTTCTCCCAGATGCCTCAGAACACCATAGAAAGAGCTCACCGAGCCCTACGCCCCTTTGCCAAATTTGACCAACCCAAGGTACATTATCATGAAAATGCTACTTTTACCGGTCAAGGAGAAGTTGATGTCTATCGCAAGAGACAATCCACCTTCACATCAGGACCATCCTATAAATTTCTTCCAAGACTCGGCTCCTTCAACATTACACAAACGGAGGGAACTCAAACCCCTCACAATGGCATTGTCGAACCAATGGCTGAAATACATACGGGCCACCCCTTCAAGTTAGTGGTGAAACGGGATAACCAAACCTACACGCTGCACCAACCCACCGATATGCAAGACTTTGTCAATCATATTGGGATTACACTGATTCACGAACCCCTGCCAGAAGTAACAAATCCACCACGGGGCTATGGACATAGGCCTGGGAGCCGTCCACTCCTGCCCCAACAAGCCAGGAAGAGACCCACTTCCACCCTGAGAGGGCTCCACCAAGGAAACACCAGAACGCGCTCACGAGGGTCATGGACATTATCTACATGAACGGCAGCCCACCTCTAGCGCACAGATCACGTTTATGTTCTAACCAAAATGGTTACTCATGATGTTTTTATTTATATGTCTTGTTCTACATTTAAGCAAGTTCCCACTGCACTGCTCCAAGATGAGGGCCAGGGCCCATATAAGGGCCACACCCTGTTTACTTGTCCCTAGCGAGTACTAATGAAGCTGCGCACCCAGAGCAGAGGGCCTCCATAGGAATGGGAAAAGTACACAGACCTAGCCCAGATTCCATCCCACGACACTTACAGTAGGCAACACACTGTGTGGGGGACACATCGTGCACCCTGCCGCCCCCACTAAGGTCCACGACTCCTCAACTCGGAGGAGGCTTAGTCACGCGCACAGACCGGGACTTAATGTCATGCCCCCCTTGAAGGCCAAAGCCCCCTAAGAGATTCTCTGAGGCTCTCATGCCTGGGATAATCTGGGACTCTACCCCTGGGTATGTCACATTATAGCTCGCTACTCACGGACTCCTTCACCCCCTTCCCCGGTGGCAGCTTACACAGAGAAAAAGGTTCAGGAATGGCCCCAGATAGGGGTCTGGACCGATACTATACGGCCCTAACCTTGGTTTTACAATCCCCGAATTACAGATCTGCTCACACATGAGGGCGCAGGGCACTAAACACCTGAATAATTGCTCTCACCTAATGCATGTGTCATGTACAGCAATGTCCTCATGACAAAGAGGTTAAAGATGTTCCAGTTTACATGTACTGTTTTGTGTTTATTTAGTTCCAACCGCATTCCTTAGATCTGAGGGATAGGACCCGACACAAGGGGATGCCCTAAGGACACGGGCACCATGAGTACTCTGCCACTACTGAGGCAGCACACCCGGAGCAGAGGACCTACACAGATGAGGGGTGAACGAACATACACAATCCAGGCCCTGCCCTTTGACTATAATAGCCTGCCACGCATCGCCCTTACCACCCACCCAGGGGTGGGTGACCCCCTCAGATGAACTGAAGCCTAGGCAACTGCTCAGACCAGGACCCCATACCACACTCCCCTTGAAGGTTTTTCTCACCAACAAAAGTCAAAATAGTATACAGGTTTCCCCATTATGCCTAATTCTTGCTATATTCCTTCCACACCTATTATAGACCATACAAAAGGAAACCAACCTCCCTAATGAAGTAAATGTACCCAACATGTTCATAGGTTAAAATATGCAGAAACCACTGATAAAACCACTGTACACTTGTTTAATCTGTATAATTGTCACAGTGATAATATGTATGTTAACCGGTGTGTGTATTATAAACTTTCACCCCAAGATTTTTTTTCTGTATCCCTCCCCCTTAAAACAAGATCTTCAAAATAAGGAATTTATAAAAAAAAAATAAAAAAATCATATTTTCTAAAATGGTACAAAAAGTGATTATTTTCTTCATTGTAGATTCTGCCCATTTTTACATATATTTCCATTTTAGACTGCCAAAGTTACAATGCTAGCTCCACAACCTTGGTGACATCTTCAGAATTGCCAAGGGACAGGGCCAAACACCATTTTGGCCAATCAGCGCCTCCTCATAGAGATACATTGAATAAATGCATCTCTATGAGGAAAATTCAGCATCCCCTTGCAGAGCGTGGAGACACTGAACTGCACTTCTGCCTACTGTGCAGCCCTGAGCCATGAAGCACCTCCAGTGGCCATCTGAGGAGTGGCCACTTGGAGGTGTCCCTAGGGGCAATGTAAACATTGAAAAGGCAGTGTTTGCATGAAAATGCCTCAAGGCAATGATTGTAGTCACCAGAACAACTACATTAAGCTGTAGTTGTTTTGGTGACTATAGTGTCCCTTTAAGTGTTCAACATGTTGCTACAAAATATCTAAACATAGGATTTCAACATAGTTTAAACCAGTGTCATTGTGCAATAATCTGTGTAAAACTGAATCGAAAAGCATCCATATACAGTATGTCTTTTTAGGTCATCCATATTTCTGAATTCTTTTATAAAGATGTGCCTATTTGTTCTTGAGGTTCTAGATCACATTTAAGTAACCTGTATACTGGTTATATACATCTGAATTTACCCAAAATGCAAAAGGCGTTTTATCATCATTGTGGAACTCAGTAGTAGACTTGTGCACAAATCTCATTCAGCTACATTGAGCAAAATCAATTAAAAATTAATTGACTAATTTGAAGAATCACACGCAAATGGATTAGTTTGGGTTAATTACTTAGACACTAGGATAATTTATATATTCTGATATACTGTTTTAAGTAAAAAGGCATTAATAATCAGTACATTTGTATTGATTGTCACATACCTGCCAATCAACACAGATGTAATGATTGTTAACGTCTTTTTTGGTCCTACTTACCTCTATGTAACAGAAGGGTTAAACTCCATATTGAGTTTCTTTCAAATAAAAAAAATCTAAATATTTATATACAGTAAGCAGTTGTATTTACCTGTATCAAGGTATAAGATATTAACGAAATAAGTGTAGCAGACACTTTTTGGTCATTCAAAATAGGCATAGCTAGTAAGAATGTAGTTGTATTACAGACACCTATGCATTGTTTGTAGAAACTGAATGAGTTATCTGTCTGAGAACATTTGTCATTGTTCATAATAACTTGTTTCAAAAAGTCTTCCATTGTTATTGTTCTGACCAAGGTCTGATTCATATATTAAAGCAAAAAGGGAAATGAACATTAAATGCATATTAATATACACATCTTTGCATTATTACGGTTTTCTTATGAGGAATGAAAGAAATGCTACCAATTACAATATTGGAAAACAAAGATTATACTAACAAGTTGTAGTTGTTAAGCAATGGCACAACATCGCCACATTAAGATTACACATTTTAAAACATAGCTTACCGTGTTTCTCCGAAAATAAGACCGGGTCTTATATTAATTTTAGTCACAAAAAACACACTAGGGCTTATTTTCAGGGTAGGGCTTATTTATTTACGTTACCAGTATGTACAGCTCTTTCTCTTTGCACTCATCTTGTTTGGGGATCAAAATACCATACTGTCTAATTAATCCACCCCCCCTTTAATAAATCCACCCCCTCTAATTAATCCACCCCTTTAATTAATCCACCCCCCTCTAATTAATCCAGCCCACCCTTTAATTAATTCACCACCCCTTTAATTAATTCACCCCCTCTAATTAATCCAGCCCACCCTTTAATTAATTCACCCACCCCACCCCCTTTAATTAATTCAATTAATCCCAGACATAAAATATCTAGCGGTACTCACATTTCAAAGATTCCTTGCCGAGTCCGACCACTGGGAGCCTCACCGCCCGGAAATGGATCCTTCCGTGAAGGCAGACTGACGGCGCTGCAAAATGTCGTCATCACGTTGCGCGACGCTCCTCCTACAGCAGAAGAAGGAAGTCTCGCCGCAAAGGTACAATGCCTAGGTCTTATTTTCGGGGTAGGGCTTATATTGCAGCCCACCCCGAAAATCCGACTAGGGCTTATTTTCAGGGTAGGGTTTATTTTTGGGGAAACACGGTAATATGCAAATATGATTACACTGCAATACAGCGATGCTCCTTCTAACATTAGTTTAATGGTCTGTTTCTCTTTTGGGCTGGTTCTGTGCTCCAGAACTAAATTCTTCATCTATTAATCCCAAAAATTGAGCAATATCCACTATCTTGGGGAATGTCCTGTATGTGGGCTATTACCTTTTTTGTTCAGGGGATGTATTAATTTGCAGTTGCTGGCAAGACAAATTTATACCTACACCATGAGCACATCTAGGGACAGAATTCTAAAGCACCCCCTACTTCCCTCAGTATTCCAAACCAAAATGATTGGTTTACAATTACAACAAAACTTGAACAAAAAAAACCATAAAATAGCATGTGAGTAGGTGTTTGTGTGCAGTGTTTGTGTGGGTAGCAGTGTGTGTAGTAGTGTTTCTGTGTACAGTGTTGGTAGCAATATTTGTAGCAGTATGTACTAATGTGTGTCAGTCATGACTTATACTAGGAGTTCCCATTTCAATTTTTTATATCGGATAACTGGTGCAGATCCATACAGAGATCAGTCTTCATTGAACTAAATTACAGAGATCAGTCTTCATTGAACTAAATTTGAGTCCTGCAGCCTCAGTTCAAACACTTCAGTCCAATGGGGTGAGGGAGAGTAGACTAGGCACATTTTAACAGGCAGACCAGGTGTCACTATTATTCAGAGCCTGTAAGCAGGTTCCTAATCTGCCTAATGAAAAATCCATCTCTGGCTGTTGGTGAACAGACACTGTAGCAACTCAAGGAAAACCGAGGGTTTAATACAAACTGTAATTGGTCAGCTGTGACAATATGGATGTTTATATTCATGATGTTTATTGATTTTCAGCAAAATTCATTCACATGATTGTATAACAATCATAAAAATGCTTGGGTGCTGCTTTCTCAAAATAAAAGGCATAATATTGATATTGGCATTCAATATTCAGTATTAACCAGTTCCTGTTGCATCTGTAGTAGATGAATCATTTAAATGCCATAGAAGAATGACTACACTTGCTTCATAAAGGAGCATTGTTAGGTTAACTACAATCACAGTGACATAAGTGTATTATGATTTGAGTACGTTTCTTGTATAATGTATAATGTGTATAGTTTTCCCTCTGTGTACTGGTAGTTTATACACCTATATTTCATTTGCATATAGTCATCAGTAGACATACTGGTTCATAATAACTAAATTACACACACCACTAGACGTCCTTGTCAGAAAGAACTGCTTTGTGTATCACTACACTTCAGAATAACCAAAGAGCACATTGTAACTTTATAGGCATATAGCCACTTTCTCATTCAGAATCCCTGCTTTGTAGAGAAAAATACTCTAATTTAGAATAACTGTTTGGTTTATTGAGAGCATAATTTTCTAATTAATGCATTTCTAAATGCTTTAATGTGTTTAGGTATAAATTTGGGTAAAATAAACTAAACATGCTGTACGGAATCTTGCAC